AATTGCATGTTCCACAAAGTGGGTTTGTAGTAGTATTGTGTAAAATTCATGAATTTAATCTAAAAAGTGTGAATTTCATTCTGCCTTGAAGAGCAGTTAATCCCTGGTCAATTTTATAGTTTTGAACCATTATTTAATTATTTGTAAAGTGGAAGCAATCATATATATATCTCAAGAGTAAAAATGAAAATTTCCAGCACAGCACGATTTATTTCCATGAAACATTTGCTTTACCACCATATTATTCCAGTTGGGTCAGCAATAATATATAATTTGGAGAAAAATGAGATTTTTAAATATCTTTACTTCTGTAGCATAGTAAGAGAAAGATTAGTCTAAATAACAAAGATACTAGCTATATAAAAGTAGATAATGAAACAGTAAATAAAATCCTTATTACAGTGAGTTTTATACATCAGCAAGATTTAGGAGTTATTCTAGTAGCACAGTGATACCACTTTTTTTTTTTTTCAGTCTTTTTGAGACAGGGTCTCCCTGTAGCCTCAGCTGGCCTGGAACTCACTATGTAGACCAGGCTGGCCTTGAACTCACAGAGATCTGCCTGCCTCTGGCTCCCAAGTGCTGGGATTAAAGGCGTGTGCCACCACATCCTGCAGTGAAACCACTTTTTAAAAATATTTTATTTATTATTTTTATGCTATATGTATGAGTGTATTGCCGTGTTGTGCAATGCCGTGGAGGTCAGAAGAGGGCTTTGGATTCCCCTGGAACTGGAGTTAAGGACGGTTCGTAGCCATCATGTGGGTGCTGGGAATCGAATCCGGGTCCTCTGCAAGAGCAGTCAGTGCTCTTGACTGCTGAGCCATCTCTTCAGCCCCATATACCACTTTTTATATTGTAAATGCAACTACAAACTTAATTCATTCTGCAGAATACAGCATATTGCTTGTCCTTTTTCTAAAAAAAAAAAAAAAACGATAAAACTACTAAAGAAAAACAAAGAGGCTTGCTTTGTTTTTTTCTTGTTTGTTTTTTAATTTTATTTTTCAGACAAGATCTTCCTGTAGCCCCAGCTGGCCTGGAACTCACTGTGGAGTCCAGGCTGGCCATAATCTCTCAGAGCTCTGCCTGCCCCTGCCTTCTTAGTGTTGGGTTTAAAGGTGTGCACCACCACGCCCAGCTAGGAGGCTTAGTTCTTAATCCACTTCTTGCAGCAGTGGAAGTCTACCAGTACTCTAGCTGATGTCCAGTGATAAGATTTCCAGTGATAAGATGGCCTCGGGCTGAGGCAGGTCACAAAAAATATCTTTTGCAGATACTGCATATTGTGAAAATTTTCTGTTTTTGTTTATTGTTCATTTCTTTATTCTGTTTTGTTGTTTTAGTTTGTTTTATTGTTTTTCACCAATTGTATTTTTATTATAATCTTACAAGGCATACAGGTCAGGTTCTATCATCTTATTCCATCTCTGTTTGAAAAACTGCATAACTGATTGAAAGAGTCAGAAATATGTCTTTGTGGAAAATGGATGCTGATCATCTTTTAAATGTGTAGCACAGAACATCAAACATTTTCATCACAGCTAAAATCCTATGAAAATGCAATGAATTATAAGTCTTGGGGAAAGGTCAAGCAGAACAATTGAATTTTACTGTATTCAAAAGGGATCCTTTATTTTCTGAAAAAATATAAATTTCATATCTTACACTACAAAAACATGTATGTAAACCAAAAGCACATAGAGATGCTGATGGGAGACAACATAGAAATGCTAGTCCTTCCTCATTTTCATGCTGAGGCAGGAACTTAAGACATCCTGATGCCTACCAAAGAATGAGATAGACTATACAGCTGCTTCCAACCTGCCTGCAAACTAAGAGACTTTGAAAAACATATTAACAAAGAACTGAGTCTAGGTTTATTCTCAGACTATTACAGATATGCTATACATTCCTTTAAAATAATTAGTTACAAAGCTACAGTAGTGTAAAGATCCACAATATGTTGATCATTCAAACTTAGTTAATACAGCACCCAACTTCAAAAATCATGACATTTTTGCCAACTCCATTATTTCCCATTAACATTGAGAAAAGAAATTTGTGTCTGATTATTTTAAACAGACATTTTTTTAACGAACTGGCAGCTTCTTCTAAGCAAGAATTATGTGGTCATCCTGAACATGAAAAATTGATCTTTGATGTGTGAAAAGACTAAATTAACAACAAATGAGAGGAAAGTGATTCTTTCTTTCTTGATACATTACTATATAATTAATGACATAATAGAGAAAAATATTCAATGTAACCAGCTGTGCTACAGAGTTGATAAAACAATGACTTATTCTAGCTATTGGATTTCAAATAAAGCTAGCATTTCAGTTCTGTTTACCAATTTGTTAGTATCATCGTCATCACCATCATATTTTCTTACTTATTTATGTTGAGGTTAAACATCTGGCAGGGTTTAAGCAAAGACAATTTATTATCACATTTAGCATCCCCCTAATATTTAGAAAGAACAAAATAAGAAAGGGATATTTTTCTACTGCACAATATCATACATCTAGCAAATTTCTAACACTTGATTCAGTGTTTACCAACTAATGCACTGATAGAGCCGAAAACACCTTCCAAAGGTGAATATTTCTTCTTGTGCTTCTGAAAACCCATTTCAAATGGGAGTAGAAATACTTTAACAGCCTTCTAATTTCACAAGGAATTCAAATAATAGACATGCAAATACATAAGTACTTAGCTGATATATTAATGATCCATTTCAACATGAGATGTGAAATTGTAGCTCCATCACTACATAGTGGTTAAAAGTATTCTATAAACAGAACTAAGGGTGGTTTTCAGTGTTTGGGACAACTCCAGAGTGAACAATGCTAGATACTCTTAAGATTAAATTCTTGGATATAAATTGTAAAATGGTTCTGTGACTTTAGAACACTGGCTTATTTACTAAAATACAAGAAACAAAAGAACATGCACATTGCAAATTTTTAAACGGGGAAAATCAATGTCTTTACATTTCACATACAATTAATACATTTGAGAAAGAGCAACTGATAGAGTACATGTTAGCATAAGATATGACTAGATAACAAATTGTGACTGATAATACTAACTGGGGACTTATTAAAATACAAATATATCATTTTACAAATCAACTGCATGTATTGAGATTATGGAATCTATGCCTTAATTTTAGTAGTCTGGTGAGGAAGGAAATGAACTCATAGGACAAGAAATCACACAGTCAGGATTTTTTAAGCCTTGACCTAAGTTGTAACCTTACTAAACTTCATGAAAGTGGGCTCATCTCTTTGTTTCCCTTCTCACATTAATAGACGTGATTGGCATGTTTCAATTAGTGACATATCTAGTGGCCAGCAAATCTTTTAGTAAAGCATTCTCCCCTCAGAGGAGGGCAGAACACATATCATTTGAAAGCTCATGTCTTCTAAAATCATATTGACAGTCTTTAGGCACTCTCAAGCAAATGAGATATGGATGAAATCAGGGTAAATATTAAGCTTTTGATTCAAATTATTTTCTCAAACTAACACTAGTATTAAAAAGGAGGAAATATATTTGATTCAAAGTAATTTATAGTCATTGTGAGGAGGCTGAGTCTACATTACAACTGTGAGTCTTTTAGCTATATTTGACTTACCAATAATCCCCAAACATATAGATAATGAAAACAATTTACAATGTGTCATTTTCTTCATTCATACAGCTGTAGCTAGCAGAACCTCTAAAATGTGTATCAATAAATCTATTCTTATTTTGAGGTTTCTCAACTGTTACTTCATTACTTAGATTCAAATAATCTTTGAAAATTCATTATAACAAAATCTCTATTTCATATACAAGACTAGTTTGAACAGTTTTATATTTGTTTAAATGTGCAAATGCATCTTTCATAATGAATATATCTTTGTGATTTTTTAATCCAGGCGATATTAAACCTATTCTCTCAACATTCTTTGGAAATTTCACAAAGCTCACAGAGCAGACTTGCTCATAGCTTGTGTGGACTCACTTTCCCTTGCAGAGAGGAAAATCAGTGTGTAACTTGAAAAGTGTTTACGCTCTTCCTACCCTTTCGTATTTTGTTTTTTTCCTTATTCTTGAGAAAAGATATATTTCACTGTTGAATTAAGGGTGGAAAGGAGAGAAATAAGTTATTTCCCTAAAATTTATTTTTACATTGGTTAACATTCAAACTTAGGACAACGAGGGGTACCACTAAGTAAATATAGACATGTCCTTGGATTTCCATACTCTGATGTTATTTAACCAGTGATAATAAGGCAAGACCTTATCAAATTTCAGTTATTTGCTCCTTTAATACCACATACCATTCTTTTGTTTTTATAAGTGGAGTAATATAAAACATTGTTGATTGAGCTCAGCTTTGTGCAAATTTTAATAAACTATGAATTTTACTGCATATGACAGCCTTCACAGGTGTCGTATATATTGTATATGGAAGAACTATCTTATACTACTTAATAAATCTAATTCTTAAATACTTCATATTGGTTCTTCAAAGTAAATTTAATGTTATGTGAGTATAAAATGTAATTCCAAAGTTAATAAAGAGCTATCAATGAAACATACTTGAAACAGAAAATGTTGAAGGACAAAAATACGTCTTCTATTGCCATCTTAGTTTCAGAAATTCTATAAATGAGAGACATTGGAAATGATTACAAAGGATTGTCACTTAAAGGAGATGCTGAGCACTGTGCACTTGGATTTAATGTTAGCAGAACCCAGCATAGACAAATCTTTCTATATGCCATAAAAACTGTACCCTTTATGTAAACACTGTTTGACTAAATATTTTCTGCAATTTAGAAAAGTGAACATTAACCTGTCCTGGTGGCTCATGCCTTTAGTCCCAGCAGTTGGGAGGCAGAAGCAGGAGCATCTCTCTGAGATCCAGACCAGCCTGGTCTACATAGCCACTTCCAGGACACCTGGGGCTATAGGGAGGTCCTGTCTCAAACAAAACAAGACAAGTAAACCTTTTCACAATGGGCAAAATTAATGGCTAGAAATTCATTGTTGCTGAGAGCACACAGTTTAAAAAAGTTGACGGGGAGAAATATTTGAGGCATTTTCTATGAGTGAATGAAGAAATTTGTTGCTTTCAGACTGGAGAGAAAAAAAACATCAACATAGGTTGAATTTTATTTTACTGCTTCCCTATTTATGTTACTCACATTACAATCTAGAATACTTTTTCCTATATGATGGAAAAATTAAAACAGTATCAAAAAGGCAAGCAGAATGATACTGCAGACACATGCAACACGCACACACACACACACACACACACACACACACACACATCCCTATTCCCACACAAGCCCAACTTAAATCAATTCCTGGACATGTTGCAAATTATACAATATTTACATATTTATTACATAGTCTCTGGAAGAGCAACTAAAGAAAATTTTATAACACAGAAAAATAAATATACACCCTGTATTACTGAACTTTCGTTTGACCAAGCAACATGTTTATAAACTAGCTTTGTTTATAACACCATGTGATTGAATTTTCAATTACAAACCATGTATTTAAGAAATAATCTAATCATATTGCTCTTCAATACACTTATGCAGACAATTAAGACTTGAAGTAAACTTCAGGAGACTGCAGCTTTTCTTAGCCCACAACTGGCTTTACAACATTTCCTTTCAAGGAGATCCCTGGGAGTTTGAAAGGAGCTGCATTAATTCAGTCTATAAAGGTGCTATGTCTTCATATATTTCATGTAAAAAACTTTATTCAAGTGGGGAAGATATTGTTATAGCTCCATTAGAGAATGTTTTCGCTTTATGTACCGATTCTATGCAGCTTACAGTTGCTTCATGAAAAAAGAAGATGCTAAGAGGAAGATATGGAGATCTTAGTCAAATACTGCTTACAAATTCAGTGCTGAGACAAATGCCCTCCTCAGGTTTAGAAATCACTGTTTTCCCTTTTCCACTAATTTTTGTTTAAATAAATCTCAGGGCTTTTACAAAGTGCAGAGTTGTTCACTTGAAGAGTGATACTGACAGAAGTTACAATGGCACCATCCCATTTACCAGCTGCACCTTCATCTCCTGAAGGCTGTTCATGATCTTCTTCTGGTGACCGACCAGAGTCACTCCGAGGCGTCTCAAATCCCTGCATGAAGAAAGCACACATTGGATGTATGTATTGATTCAGATGGCAGCACACCTCAAAATTTCACGCTGGCAATGGTGCAACAGATTTGCAGAAATTAGTTGCAACACAATGAAAATTTACATATTCAGGGTCCAGTTTTCAAAGGTGGGTTCTACAATTTTACCTCGAAAGAAATCTGTTTGCAGTCAAAAAATAATTTTAATAAGGAGTATTAGAAAGCACATTGGTTCCTGTGGGTAAAAATCATTCTTTCAATAGTACATAGTGGGGTAAAAGAAAATTTCATATCTTACCAAAAGATTTTGACCTTAAAAGGGTACAGTTCATTAAACAGTATTCAACGTGTAACCCAGAACAAGAGCAAACATTTTAAAAAGAAATATAAAATGCAACTTAAAATTTTACAACTTATCAATTAAAGACTGAATTCTTTAACTGACTCATTCCACACAACCATTATATATGATAGACTTC